TTTTTTCTTTTACTCCGTAAGAAACGTAAAAAGTAATGTATACATATGTAAACGTTGAATTAAGAGCTACAGTTAAGCACGGTTCCATTTTTATTTTGTTCGCCCCGTGTATAGGTAAGACACTTTTATTAAAGATGGAGCCTAGAGTGTTTAACTATAAATCTAGTATCTCTGAAACGATATTAATACATGATAAGATATTCGGAAGGCTTACAATATTGGATAAGTTCATAAATTGTTCGTCAGCAGTTTTAATGCCGCGTGTCACGAAATATTTTACAATTATGAAATAAACATATCGCTCGGAGCAACAGGCTAAGTAATGAAGAGATGTATCTTTTGTCATACACAGTCAAATCATTCTGAAATACATAGATAATACAAATAATATTACGTTAAGAAACTAACTACGTATTCAGTAGCAAATAATAATTGATGACGTACACGTATCACAGCCATTTAAATAGCCTAGACTTTTACATTTACAAATGTTAACAGCGACGGGCAACAAAGGGGTAAATGAAACGTATCCAAAAGTAAATGAAACGTAACGGAAGACTGGATAATTATTTATCGCATTACCAGGAAAATATATTTTACCAAGCCAAATACGTTGCTCAGAGATTATCGTTGTCCACAGCATTCTCTCAAGGCTTAATTAAAAGTACGTCGACATACATATACGTACACAAATCATGCTTATAAATTTAGTATAATAATGTAGATAATAATTGTATAAGTAAGGCTGATTAAACGCGCACCTTTCCCCATTCGAATGCGATTGAATTCGTTCTCTCTCCGTTTTTGTTGCACCGACAATACTGTCGCTCGTATCTCGAATTGCATCCGCGGTCAAAATGGATTCTATCGTGTCGTGCGAGACACTTTAATAAAACGGAGAGAGAGAGAGAGAGTTCAATCGTCCAGCGTTCTCCGTGTAAATGATCTTGCGATGATGCGTAGGACTAGGTATTCAATGATTTCAAACTTCTTCCTTCTAGTTTTAGAACGTGGCAGTAGAATAGTACACCCGACACCTTGCCGCAAAGATGGAGTAACTCGATCGATTCCAACCCTTTAAATATTACCATCCAACCGATGATGCGTATATGTTATTACTTTCTCGTTTAACTAAAAATGTCTCTTCTTTTTTTCCCCCCTTTCTTTTCTTTCTCCGTTATCACCATACGAAACTGATAAAATAAACATCCCTTTTAAACAAGTTGACCGCTAATGAAACTGCAATTTTCGTTTATATAAGCGCAGAGAGAATCTCACTCTGAAACATATGTACATAGGACAGGCGTTTATGAAATTGAAACGTCTTGATAATCGATCCCTCGAGTTATTAACCGCCCTTGCTTCAAGGTAAAGTAAGGGTATCGGATGATTGATGTATCTTAACAATTATCTATCTGCTGTGAATATCATGTCGATGATGTAAGTCTAATCCCGCAAAATCACTCGCATGAAATACGCCCCTCGATAGTTATTCGAAGCTAACTAGGGTAATAACTATGCGATTAATATAACTTTCGCGCGTTTCTTTCCTATCTGCCTTCTTTCTCTCCCCTCGCTAAATCGAAATCTCTCAGGTCTGCTCAAGCGTGTAAACGTGCGGCTTGCTCACGAAGTGGGAGGTGAACGTTTAAAAAAATGTACTCGGCTATTAGAATCTATTCGATGATTTATAAATACTAAAAAAAGTCGCTACCCTTATTACAAATCGTTTCTTTTCTTTTCTCATTTTTTCCCCCACCCCCTTTATAACACAAAGTGGGCGAGTCCGGGAGGGTTTATCTCTCCCAATTTTTAAATGTTACGCGCGCGAGCATGGTGTTTGCGCCCTTTATATTATTCAAAAGGATCCTTGGGAAATAATACTTTTGAACTTTGTCCCTCAAATGTTATTTATCGAGGATCGCGACTGGAACAGAGACGGGAAACTTCAAACGAAACTCTGAAACATTTTTATTGGAATATAATAGAATTTTTGTAAGACAGAACTTTGACAGAAAACTCTGTCGTTGAAATAATTTATTTTTTTTTAATTTAGAAAGATACTATTGTTAAACAAATCACTGTATTTGCAACGAAATTCTAAAAGAGAATGCGAATAATTTTTTCAATTGTTAGTTCGATATTATTTCAACTCACAATGAAAAATAACGAAAACTGAATAAAGTTAATAAACTGACGAAAATGTCGATTATGATATCTATTTATAAACACGGGGGAAACAGGGAAAGAGGGTTGTGATCCCGTTTCGATTTCGAATCTGGAGAAATTCGGTCCCGTTGAGGCCCTCGAGGACAAGGAATTCTACCGTCGTTCATCTGAATTGAAACATTCAAAGCTGATAATACGACTTGTCATTGAATGCATTGCTCTGGTCGAAGTATATTCACGTTCGTAATATTCTTACGTAATTGGTTTCGATACATCGGAAGGAAAGATGTGTAAGAAAATAAGACGTGTAAATGCACGTGCGATAGTGAGAGTCGATTCGATCGATGTAAATTATCTCACGAAAATGGGCTTCAAAGTTCTAGTGCTATTTTCATGGTAAATTTCATTTATTTTTAACTAATGTCGACTAGTGAGAACAAACTGTAAAATTTCAGTAAGTGAAGGAAGGTTGTCTACGCTATCTTCGTACTTATGAAACAATACTAACGCAGACGGAAATGAAAGCAGAAGTCGGAAGCAATGATGCAGATGGTGGCTTTAGTTGGTCCCGAACATGAGTTAGTCAGGTTTGTGTACAAATCTTTATCAATTGATAAATGAAATGTTTGAAGCAAAGTGCAAATATCTTCAATTTATCCTGACAATTGTAAGTAACATACTAATAAATAAATAAATTTCTAGTCATTCTAATCATAGTCTTTGCACCAATGGTGAACATTTTATTTAAAAGAGAAAACGAAGCAAAATTTGATATGAAAATTTTAAACGACGAATTACAAAGAAAGAAAAAAAAAAAGAAATAACAAAAATACAAGTTAACAAACGATTTCTGCACAAACCCATTCTAAAAGTCGCGCATGGAATCGTGTCGATCGTTGCATTACGGATCTCAGCTTATGGCAACGCTGCGCGTGTCGAACATAATATATGTATGTATGTATGTAACATCTCTCCCTCTCTCATTCTCTCTTTCTTCCCTTCACTCTCTCTCGTTCTTTCTCACTCTCTCACGTAGCATTTTAAACATTATGAGTTATTTATTAATCTATACGGCCCTACGATATACGGATGAATGTTCCTTTGGCAGTTTATTTACATGCGAGTTGAGCCACGGCGCCGAAAATATCATACGGCAACGAATTTCGATGTCAAGCAAGTCCAGTGAAGTACGGAACATTTTGAAAAGTTGTAACACGTTAAAATCAATAGACTTTCACTCGTGTAGCGTAGCAGCACTTTTCGAAAATGTTTCGTCTTGGATGGAGAGCGTCGTTGCGGATATTAGTAAGTTGAGCCTCCAAATTTTTGTTACAAATCGTTTAGGAGAATGTTTACAAACGGTACACGAGTATAAAAGGGTTCGAAATGTTACAATCTAACGTTCCCTCAATTTCTTACTTGCCCAATTTGAAGACGTTCGACCTTGATTGAAGATATTGAATTGTTTCAAGTATTTTATATTTACCTCATGCTTCATGATCAAATGAAATTAATTGCAGGACCATAGAGAAAGAAGTAAGAAATGATTTTAATAGAGTGTTCATTCATTGTGGTTTTAGAAAATTTTTTAAAGAATATCTATTGGAACGCTTGTACTATATATATTTTCATATCAATATAATGTTAGAGTTTATAACGAAGGATATTTGGATTTATGTTACATTATTTTAAATTCAATGTGAAATACTATTAAAAAGTGGTTTCTCTTTATGTAATAAGAAATGTTATAATAGTATACTATTTGATACTATTAGCATAAATAGTATGGTATTATAACAGTACTAGAATAGTGCAGTATAAATGTATGTATATTGCTATCATGAAATTATTTGAAACTTATAAAGTATTACAAGTATTTTTATATTATTATTTCTCAACTTCTAATTTCAACGAAACAATACTCTCCATTTACCAACATAATCCATAGCTCAACTGCAGCTACCGTAACCATGTTATTTACAGAAACAGTACGATCATATAATTGAGATATCTTGCGCTGTTAGTTCCATTTAATTTTGTACCCCCGTTTTCCTCGTCATTTTCACTGGCAGTGTCTCCCTTTGCCTCAACAATAGTATCTAGACGTTCCATTGTACTCCTTTGATGGTGATGACTACTTGATAAGTCACTCTCAGGCGTCTCATCCGAGTCTACATCAATCATATGGTCATTAACTTGAATTTTTACTACAGCATCTACTGGGTATTTTCCTTCATCGCTGGATGATGTTGTTCCCCTTTGTGATCCTACTCTACTGGATAATATTCTCTCATCCTTCTCACAACGAGGACAATTTTGACCATTTGATGAACCTTCGTCGCTCTGACATCTGAAGCATATTAAATCACCTTCGCTAGAAAAATCACAATGCTCACATTGAACAACTTGACCATTTCCATGACAGATTTCACAGACAGGACTGTCATCATCCTGCTTCAAGTCTCTGTCTTCATAGTCTCTTCGGTCATGTTCCTGTTCATACTTTTTGGACCAACTTCTTTGATAGTCTTGATCACGATAGAATGACCTAGGTGAAGAAGATTGACCACTATACTCTTGATCATGATATAATGACCGAGGGGAGGATATATGAACTGGACTTTTATATGTGCGAGAAGTTCCTGGTTCCTGAAGTCGATCATCAAAACGTTCCTCAACATATCTACTGGAATAGGAGCCAGGTGTTTGTGGTCTGTACGTGCAAGTACGGGTTTTTTGATCACACTCACTGCATAACAATAAATTTGACTTGCTGCCAGGCTGGGAAGCATAACCGTTACAAGTGCCATAATATTTCTCATCTTCGTCACTTTCAAAGAAATGTTGACTGAGGCTACCAATTGATTTTGTGTCGCTGGATCTACCAGAGATTCTAGCTCCTTCAGGCTCTTCCTTGTCATCTGCTGCATATCTATAACAAAATTTATATTTTATATATATATGAATGACAGAAATATGCTTGTACATTTTTATACAAAAATTTACGTGAAATAAAAATTCACTAGTGTTTCAGACTAACAACAAGTAATAAGATATACCTATCGTCTGTAGCGTCAGCCAAATAGTGTCGTATTCGCGCTATCTTTGTTTTGCCGCGCTCTCGCGGCCTTGTTTCTTGTTAAATGATACTTTCTCGATTTCTTTCATTGTTATCTTCTAAGCTGGAAGACGAGCTAGCACCGCAAATCTGCATCTCAATTTCAGCCAATCGATTCTCTACTTCCCACTGTTGTTGATTTAGTTTGGCGCTCATTGCTGCGTTTTCAGACTCCAAACAAATTAGACGTTCACGGAGACGTTTAATTTCGGCCAATAAAGCTTCGTTAGTGCCTAAAAGTGGCGTGGCACCTTCGACTAATTGAGTCATGCTGCTGGTCATGCCTAGAAAGAATAATATATATTTTGTTATTAACAAACCAATCAACAATGTTAATATAATAGTCAATTAATTTAGTCATATAACGTTAAAAAATAGTAATTATGTATAATTTGTTATTAATAAAAGTGTAACAGAAAGTATGAATTACTAATAAATGTTGTTTCAAATACTTTATGTACAATTTTCTCAGTTAAGTCATTCTTGTTCTGCATGAATGACTTCGTTTCCTATTAGATTCATTTAGGCAATATTTCCTTATTGAACTGTTTGCGATGATCTATTTACAACGAATGGATACTAACGTCACATATGAATTGTCGGCACACGTAACAAGTCTCTGCTCAACGTCCATTATACTTTTATACTTTTGTAATATAGTAATTACATATTTTGTGACATTGTGATCATAAATGACGTGATACTGATTTGATACTTTAAGAAACAAGCATATGTCACGAATTATTACATATCTCTCGACTAAGTAAAATATTATTCTATCGGACTATTGTATTGTACAATAATTATAATATTTGTAATATAAACTATGTGTTCAATATGTGCATATATCTAATTATATAATATATAATTTACATGTATGAAAGGACGTATCTACGTAATTAATGAAAAGCAGAGTTATTGGAATGTAAATGTTTAAATGTACAAGCCAATAACTCTTTAATCTTTTATGATTAATATCATTTTACGACATTTTACGAATTCAATGCTGCTGTTACATTCAGATTATTGATTACTTTTCTGCATTTTCAACTTTATTTTCTTAGTTCGTTATGCCATTAAGTCCATCAATTTTACGTAAAATACGTTACGTTTATTTACGTAAAATATGTGCAAAGTACATCAAGTATTAGATATTGATAGGTATTCTTATTAACAAATATACTTGTATTTCTTATTTATAATTACTTATGAATATGCGTGTAAGTTGAAAAAATTCAACAATAAACAAAGCACAGAGCAAGATACACATGTCAAATATGCGAGAAAGATAAAAAAATTAGTTATATCATATTCTTTTGCCTTTCGGCAAAAGATTTATAATTTATTATTATACGTATGAAGTTCAAAGTATAGTATAATATAATATCATTAAAAAAATTAACTTTCTTTCTATTGTTTTGGATTTGTTTCCTGCGAATGAAATTAAATGTGTATAAAATAAAATTGTTTTATTTCTAAAATTTCTGAAGGACAAATTTTCAAAATCAATAAAGTATAATAAAATATAATACGAAGAGAATACTTTTAGATTAATATAAATTGAAATAATAATTAAAATAATATTTATCGTGGGGTTTTATTTTCTCTTGTAAGAGAATAGATTTTGATGGTTTGTTAAGTGAACTTGTCGGTATTTATTATTTCGATTTAAAATAAGTAATAGTAATTTTATTTGATATAATATTCTATTCTGATAAAAGTTTAATTAATTTTGGTATACGCATACGGGAGATATATGTCTAAATAAAATCTCAAACGTGCATAAGTTAAATTTTAATTAAATAATTATGTTTAGATAAAAATTATTATAAAAGTTGATAGGCCGTTGTTGGATTTTTTAAGGTCTAAAAAATAATTTTGTATCATTTGCGTCTTTCTTTATTTATCGTAATTTGAAGGAGCGCTTTTTAGATAAATTGGAGCTAACATTATAGCCTAAATAAACTTTAAAGTATTAGTTGTTAAAAATCATTGATGTTTTTTAAATCGGTTTTTGTTATAATTTATAAATTTTCTTTCTTAACTAAAATAGAGTATAATTTTTTAAAAGATTTTCATAGTTTTATTGTATTTTCATTATGGGCGGATATCGATGGATTGAATTGAGAAATAAATTTTGAAACTGTTTTGAAGCGGATAAAGAGGTTGTTATGTGTGTTGGCTTTCTTCTTTTAATATTATGACAATATTAATATTGATAATTTTTCATATTATAATAGTATTAATTTTAATATTATGATAATATTAACATTACTAATACATCACGATCTCGTGATAACATTATATTAATTTATCACAGTCTCATTCAACTTAAAGTCTGTTTAGTGAATTTTCTCGAAAATGAAACTTCTCACAGAAAAAAAAAACTACCCCAAATTCCGAAATTTATTCTTACACGAAGATTCACTTCTTCTTCTAAGTATTCTGGCGACGGGATGGTGGCCATTTACAACCAATAAATCAGTGGATACCGCGCATCAAGCATGGAAACTTCAATTCCAACGGAAGAGGAAGATTCCTTGGTGATTTAACGTCCATTAAATCACGAAGGAAAAATGCGTTCAATCTGAAGGCCGGTGAGAGTTAAGAAAGAGAATCGGGGTCGAAGGATTCAGAAAGAGGACGTATATTTCCAGTCGGTGGCGTTCAAGATGAAATACTTGCCAGAGTGGGTGGATTGTCTGCCGGCGGAGGGCTGTGCGGTCGCGGATTGTGGTGCCCTGGCGGTTTGATCCTCGCTGCTGTGGCCGCTGCTGGTGGCACTCATCGGACTATCCATGCTCCTCGCAACGTTGTTCGCGTTGACATTGTTCCCGGTGCTGGGCAAACCGCGCGACGTCACGGGACTCGGGCTGGGGGAGAACAACGAGTGGCCAGCCGAGTACGCGTGAGTGGACTTTGTGTCCACCGGTGAAACCCACATCTCCTCCAATGGTATACGACCTCGTGACTCCACGAGTCCTGGCGTGCTTTGACATCGTCCCATTGCAGCTGAAAGTTCGTATCGTGGGCGTAAAATGTCACATGCCAGAGGTATGAAGTTCAGTCTCAGGAGGAACAGTGTTGTTTTTAGTTCTGGTAAGACTTGTAGTTCGTTTGGTAATGTGTTCCCCGTGTTATTCAGGAGTTATACAGACTGATTGTATGCATTCAATCAAATAAACGAATTCTGTTTGGGAGGAAGATGTGTGTTCAAGGGGGGTCATTGTATTGTAAAAGCTTACTTTTAGCCAGAGTTATGTAGAGATGATATTGTAAAAATTTGTTTTTAGTTGAAGTTATATAAAGTTAGATTAAGTAAATTTGCAGAGAGTTTTATAAAATTGTGTTGATCAAATGTACATATGTTGTTGTCTTGAGATTTTTTTATGTATTGTTCATGTTTTGATGTATTGTTTGTCTTTTGATGTGTGTACTTTCATATAACATGTATTGTCGTCCTTTATAATATTGTATTATGCTTCACGATAAAGTATTATATACTTGTAAAGTTTTTTGATACTTTAATATATCTGTATATTAATGTTAGTCAATGAGTGTATGAAATTTGACATTTATAAGTTTATACAGCCTCAGTAATTTCCTAATAATTATCATCCTCATGCCAATTTTATGTTAATGAAGATTTTTCTTTGGTTGTTTTCTTTACTTATCACTAACTTTTCTTTTATTCTTATATTCTAAGATTTTTCTTATATTCTTTAGTTGATGCTGCATGTTTCCTAAGAACACGTTTTTATTTAATATTTTATTAATATTTTATTAGTACTGATAGTGCTGATAATCTTTTAATAAGCAACACTATATTTATTAACAAATAGAAGAAGAAATAAGATAAATGTTTCTAAAAGTTTTTTGCATTATACTACACATAAACTAAAAATTCACTACTATGATTACTAATAATTGACATTACATAGTAAATATTATTTTAATATTTAGTAATAATTCTTACAATTTTAGTTTTTACAGTTTTTGGAATATTAAAATACTGTATATATAATTTCAATTACTTTCATACATTATAATAGGAGTTTTTTATCATTTACAATTTACATAATTTGTATTCGTGGGATGTGCGCGCGCAATGATTTTCTCTTAGGTAAAGATTACAGCGCTAATGAAGCGGTAAAATATGTAACTACTTATTGCGATATCCGATTATGATCGATATAATTTTCCATTATCGATTTATATTGGTAGAAATGTCAGTTTTACGCGGGAAGTGCAGGAAGAAGGAGCGTTATATAAAAGTTGTCAGGTAAAGTTCAGAATCAAACTTTTTATACTTATTTTCGTATTGTCGAATACGATTTAAGATAGCAAGTATTATTTAAAAGATTCATTACATACATATGTATATTCAATCCAATCATTGATGTTGATCAGAAATCAATCTATATGTATACAGCGTTTCAAGAAATACCAAACTTCTGTCATAGAAAAATTGTACGTATATATTATTTTGAATTAACATTGTATGATATATTCATGATTATATTCGTCAATGAAGCCAATCTGAAAATTTACGTAGAGATTACAAGATGTTTATTGCAAACATGTATTTAGGGTAAAAGGTTAGCATAAGTATTAAAGATGGCACCACTGAATATTATTAATACAATGGATAATATATACAAATATACAAATCATCAATAATAAAATATATTACTTACATTAAACTATTTTGTAATTTTCACATACGTTTCCAGATATTATCATAACCATCATAATCATGAGATTAGTCTATGAATCTTATATACAGTGTTAGTAAAATTTTAAAATGCTTCGTATGTTTCGTAATATATGCATACATGTTTCTACAAATATATTTAAAATTTTCTACTGAACTCTGTGCTAAAAAAGCATCGTCCTTAATTATGTATGTTCCATATTTATCAATTTAATCAATTACATTTCATTCGATCAAATTAAATTGGCGCAATATTGATATTCATGTATAAATGCATACGATATTTATAATATGCTCGATGTTGAAAATTCCCCCACACTACCTCACTTAACCTAACCTATCAAATTAGTCCACGAACGTGAACTTGTTCTGTTGTTGAAAATTAATTGCGTAATATTCGTCGTTCTTTTACCTTTTATATTCACGCTATTATTAACATTGTTTAATTAATGTACGTTTTTATTCAATAATTTGAATATATATTTCGTTCGATTTAAATAAGAAAGTGAAAATAACTTTTAGATCTTGTTGGATTTTTGCAAATTTTTTATAATAATATACTATATAATATAATAATAACAACAGATAATATTGTTTTTTTTTTCATATTAGCGCGCTATATTTTATATTTTATTAGTACGAGATAATATTTAAAATTCTAATAATAGATATTCAGAATTATAATTTTTATAAATTAACTTATTTGGATTATAGAATATTTATGGATACTTGATAATATTTGAGAATACTTTATACACAATGATATTTTAAAGTAATTATATATTTTTAGTATGATGTTCCTTCATTTGTTGTAAAATGAATTAATAATAAATAATTAGTATGATGTTCCTTCATTTGTTGTAAAATGAATTAATAATAAGTAATTAGTATTTTGAAAAAGCAATATTTTTTTTAAACAAGCATTTCATAGCTATTCATTTTTGTTATTTCAAATTTTCTGAACAATCACAATCACGTTTCTCAAAATAAGTCATCATAATTTATATTTTATTAAAGCTTCCTTCATCGTTCCTTCCTCTTCTTGTTGTTTTCTAGAAGCAATTTACAATTGCTAACACAACTTTGTAATACCTTTTTGTATTTTGAATTGAATATCATCATTGAAATATTTTTATTTAATTTGGTATTTTAGTATTTTACATTTATTTAGTTTCATTATTTCAACATTATCTTCTCATATAATTAACAGCGCTTTTAAGAACAAATTATAATATCCTATTCTTCATTACAGATCTCTCTCAGTGTTCGTTTCTTCTGTGGAATTTGACATGATAATTCAGACGCTGTTCTTCACATAGGATGAAATCAACACGGGTAAGTGGTTATAGTATTACGTAGAATTTTCGATGAACACGATTACATCCGTGAATAGTAACATTTTTTGTCTGTATTTTATTTATTATTTATTAGTTTAGAATAGGATTAGAATAATATTAATATGTGATGATTGAGAATATCACAGAGTATATTTATTACAATTGTTTGTAAAATCAAAATAGATTCAGTATAATTATTTGTATAGATAAAATATCAATACAAATGCATCTATATTATTTATACAAATAAACAGAATATAAATATTCAAATAAATGATGAATATTACGATGATTTCGTTTGAGTGTTTTGTAATAGAGAAGTTGAATGTCTTTATGAATATTAAAATTTTTGTTGGGCTATCGGCTATTTATAATAATATTGCATATTACAATCACCACAATTATTAAATAATTCTTTATAATTGTTCCACCGCGTTTTAATTTCTCTCGTGGGAGATAGTAATTGCGTATATAATCCGTCAGTGAAGGATGAGCTTTAACGATTAGGGTTCAAATAAAAGGTGGCTGATGTATTGATGAAGATGAATGGCTTCTGGAGCTTCTCGATCCTTTGCTTTAGTAGTGTATTTCGTTGATCCAGATGATTCATTGGTGGAAAATTAGGTAGACGTCTATACTAGTTCAATCTATCAGACAGTTTACTCCAATGCGATATTCGTTCCAAGAAATGAGGTCAAACCGGATGTGGATTTTTGAGAATTGTTATTTTATTTTAGGAGATATTCAAATTGTTCGTGAATTATATTCTCTATGTTATATTGCATTTTGTAATCTAAAAAGATATTAAGCATTTCATTAATAATTGTTACATATTTTAGTTATTTCAAAATATGTTTGCAAGAAATGTTGTTATTTCTTGTATATCTTTCCTATCTTTTATCTATATAAAAATTGGAAAATTTCAGAGTAATTTTACACTCACGAGTACATGAATTGACAATATTAAGACAGTATTAAGTATTAAAAAATATGGTAAAAATTTATGCAGGCACAAAACACAAAATTAAATAAAGAGTTATTTCGTTCGATAGCCAAATAATGAGATAATCTACAGGAAAATCATTATTATTACATCAATCCCATCTCAATTTATCATTTTTTGAAATATGTACGTCGAATAACATCCAAGCTATTTTTCATACATTCTACAAAAAAAGTTGCAAAAAGCAAAGAAAGAAAGAAAGAAAGATATCTCAAGAGATAGGACGTTAACGAAGAAGCCAAGGAGAATTAACCAAGGAGAATCAACCAAGTTGTAACAAAGTTCTCCCCCCACGAGATGCGGTCTGTTACAAGATTGATATCTTCTTACACGATAAAAGGATCCTATAACTCTGGATCCTATGTTACAATGCTACAAAGCGAATACGCGAACAGTTTCCTCGTTACTCTCTGTGCTGACTCTCAGTCGAGGAGCGCGATTTCCTTTCTCTTATCTTTTTTCTCTTTCCTCTCGAAATTCGTCTCAAGCTTGCCCGCTTTGTTCCGCGCTCCAGCTCTTTGTTCAAGAACAGGCCTCGCGGATCTGGTTGCGCTTCGGCCAACGCCGTCTAACCGCCTCTCATTTTCACCACGGCGAGCTTCTTTAATTAAGCCACCGCCTTTCTCATTGTGCAGCCACTGCAGTTGTTAAGTGCGCGCACGCGTCTTGATACGCATACACATATATACATGCATGCATGAATGCATGCGTGTCTGTACTTTGCCGCTTCTCGAAGCACATATGTACATATATACGTATGCAATATGTACACACGATTGCGATTCGCCAATTTGAAAGTTCGTAAACACAGCACGAACTTACTTCCAACGAAAGAACAATCTCAGGATGAATAGGAAGATGAGCTGTGTGCTTGTTTTGCGTTCAACTTTCAGACTAATTAATTGAAACTCCGCCGGCTTGGACACGCCTGCCGGTGACACGTAGTGTATCAAGATTC